AAACAACAGGCAGTCGTTTGCCGCGCTGATGCGTGCGCGCTTTAACGCTCGGCCGCCGCCCACGTAACTTCCGGCGCGGCGTATTAGATCGCAAATTACGAATATCCTCTCTTCGCTTCTCGATATACCGTATACCCCGGGAGAGACGGGGACGAAGAGGAAAACCGTTGGAAACATCGGTAAATATAGGGGCCATTAAGGTTATACCGATATATAGAATCGTATAACTACTTATCGCGGTTAATTATGAAGCAGTCGTCACTCGACGCCGACCATTCGATATAGGCGCGGTGAGACCAGTTCCGGTCGACCTTATTAATTAATTTCTAAGCTCTTTTTCTTCAAAACCATGTACGTCAGAGTCCGCGTTGATATCATCGAGTTTTCATCGAAAGCGCGCGAGTGTCTCGCTCCCTCCGCGTCGTCGAATCATCTCGGCAGACCTGCTGGAACCACTCGTGAGTCGTGTTTCTTCTCTCCGTCAACGTATATAGATCCGGATTCATCAGAATCGGGCTTCGTGCTATTATTTCGAAATGCTAAAATTCAATGGAAAAAAAAATCATTGACGATGCATTCCAAGAAAAAAAAACAAAAGAAAAACGAAACCAGGATATGGTCTCATCGCGCACGTGATCGATTCCGAGACCACCGCGCTCGTCACGCGTCTTCCTTTTTTCTTTTCTCTCTCTTTTTTTTTAGTTTCGCAATGCTCGCGCACTGCATCTTCTCTTTTGATTTCGCGGAATTAATCGGCGCGGGACGCGCCTCCGGCGAAGCGAACGTTTTCGCGACGCGAGACACGTTCGCCGGTACGACACCGTTGCCTCCGACATCGGACGTCGTTATTATCATCGTCGATTGTACACGCCGTGGGCGTGTACTCGTCCAAGGGCGAGCCGAGAAGCGAAATCGCGCTCGATTAATCGCGCGCGGAGATGCGACCCGGTCTCGTTAAAGATGCTTCATTGAATCGGTCTATAGGGAAACAGTATGAAACGGTGTCGGGTTGAGAAAAGGTCGTTCGGCAAGACACACAATACTATATGTAAAATACATAGCCAAACCGACAACAAAATTTTTGAGAAAAGAAAACTTCTTTCGCGAAGAAGAAAAAGAAGACAACAATAACACAAACCGGGCAGTAAAATTTATTCTGCCTTCATTATGCAGGCAGATTTTAACCTTCCTGTGCTTCATTGTTACGATGTATTATAATCGAGAAAATCTTATTTTTCGCCTACGATGTTTACGTTTTTCGGTAATATTAACATTTTTAACAAAGAGACAATTTATTTTTACAACAATGCTCTCCTTTCTGTAAAGAAGTATACGCTGCAATGTTTTCACACACGAAAGGAGTACTTTACGAAAAATATGTTTGACACGGGAGGCATTCTCCACGCGTTTCTTGATTGTAAATATAAATATTTTTTCAAGCATGCAGCGGATACATTTCGTTACAAGTAATTTCACGTTCGTATTAAGCATTAACGAACGGCATGCAAATATACGTATTGACCTAGCCGCTGTTCTTTCAAGCTCAACGCACTTGAGGCAAATAAAAGTCTTCGTGCAGGGGAATTTGCGCTTTTTATTCATACATTTTTCTGCGGTGACAATATAGAGTTTCTTGGGAAATGTGTCTCTTTGTGCAAGGCACGGCTGCATTTTACCGTGAATGAGACACGCGACGTCGACGCAACTGAACTCGCGACTTTCGTCATGTGTCGTCATTTCGAAAAGTCTTTCCAGAGGGTGATGACTCGCGCTCTCGTTCCGCGAATCGTGCGTACGTCGGCGTCGCATGTGTGACACACCATTGCGAAAATCTTCCCGTAACTTATAATCCCGATAATCGATTTCCGTAATCAGGATCTTTCCCAGGCTTATCCTTTTGCAATCGTCACTTATACGGCCGATAACAAATCGTTAAGAGTTGCGGCAGGGCCTGGGCGGTGCACGCGGCGCGTGCACCGCCCCGAAAAACATACGTGAACGTCTTCATGTATAACCGCGACAAACAGTCGCCGCAATAAACATATTTCTAACGACGACGCGTGTCACGCTAGCTAAACAAACGTTTCGAACGACCCTGTGTATCGTCGTCGTCGTCCTCGAGCGCGGCTTACGTTCGCAATAAACGAAATTTCGCATATCCATATAGTGACGCCAGTGCGGCCTCGCAAGTATAAACACCGATACGGAACGTGTGCACGGAGCCGTCGTCACAGCGATACCTCGTAATGTCGCTATCTAACTGTTCTAACAATATAATAAATGCGTCTCGAAAGGCTGCACGTCGAAAGAAACACTCGAGCGGATATATCTCCCGATCGACGAATTCGAGTGATGCAGAGGGTGGGCCGCGTCACGTTTTCAGCGGCATTCCTCGCGTGGACCACCCCCGTCGATTCCTCGATCAGAGTCGCCCGCGTGCGTTCCCGTGCCTGTTTTTTTTTTCTGGACGGTCGATCACTCCTATGCATGCCTTGCCGCCCGCGTCCGACGAATAAAATTAAGCCGACCCGATCGGTCACGTTTCCGCGACGACGGGAATAAGAATTAGCCCCGTGATGTATTTCTCCTTCTCTCTCTTTCTTCCAGAATGGCGATGCCGATGCCGCGGAGAAATTCCGCGCGGGACGAGGAGAATTTCTGGTTCTCCAAAAAACCCACACGTATATACGCGTGTAAAGGCGAGATCGTAAAAACGGACGGTCGGACGTACGGGCGTCGACTCGCTTTCTCCCTGATAATGCGACTTACGTCAGCAAGCGGCACCGATGACCGGGAATCGCGCGAAGAGATAGCGGGCCAATCGATCAACCGTCGTTCGCGCGCGGGGTGCGACTTTGACTAAACTCCGATTAAGCTTATCCGAGTTATAATAACTGCACTATTTTAGTAACGCATGGATGGAACTATCAATTTTTTGCTGTTTATGTTATCCGTGGTTAAGGGGAGATTAGATTAGGGACGACGAATTATCCCGTTAAACAGCCGATTAACGTAAATGTCACATCAATATTACAATTTTCCACACGACAATATAAGTGTATCGTAATGCAGTGTTGAATAGAAAATTATAACACTCTGGATATAATATATTTACTGTTATAGTTGATGTTTATTCATCACATGTAGTCGGAAGTTTTGCGGCTCTACAGCAATTTTCTGTTGAATTAATGGACAGTTTGGTCGAATCGGGGTTTAGTCGAAGTTGTCTTTAATATAGGTGAGGGTTTAGTATAAGGGTTGTTAGAAGGCATGGATCCTTGCAGGCGATGTGCATTTTAACGATAGCTTCGGCCGTGTTCGATAAATTCGGATTCGGAGACCGCGCTCGCGCGAACAGGAACGGCGCGATCCTCTTGAAAAAAAAAATGTGGGACGGCGACCCCGAAATCGTTCCGTTTCACGCTTCACCGTGAGGCCGCTTCGCCTCTCGCGCACCGCGACCGCGACGGATCGAGAGCGGAGCGCGCCGCGGAGAGCTCCCGCTCGATTAGGATCTATCTCGATTCGCGTCGTCGCGGACCGGAAGTGAATCGGCCGTGCGCGATTCCTGACGGAATCGCGCGGATTCCGAGGAGCTCCGCTTCCGACGAAGTCGGCCTTTTGCGTCGGACGAGCATGGAAACGAGCTTACGTCAAGTGCGAAAAATGTGTCGAAGACGCGGCACCGTCTTCGCGGAGCGTCCCGCTCGGTTCCCGCCACTTTGTGAGTCATCCGTTTGTATAGGCATACACGATATATCGTACAACAAAAACACTCGGAGTGGCAAATGGCGAGGAGGGCGAGGTCGTGGGAAATAACGGCCGAAGTCACGAGGCCTCTTTTTTTAATTCTTAGAACTAGAAGAAGAGAGAGATAAGAAAGTAAATTAGACCGAGATTGAAGTTAATCTGCATCGATGTAGAAATGGGCGTTATTCTCCGTTTTTCTTGTGTCCGCGAATCTGAAGAGAAGAGCGAGAGAGAATTAATATATATAGAGAACCTCCTTTTATCTCCCTAGAAGAGAATACCGGAAGTCTCGAAATTCTCGGGCGAGAGAATATCGCAAAACCGCGCCGAGTGATCCGGGTAGAAAATGTGCGAGGGCACACTTTCTCAAAGCGCGGTGAAGACGATCGGCCACGGTCGGGCGTTATACGAGTAGGAAAAGAAAAAGGGGGTCCGGATTTATTTATTTCACGGCCTGTTCTCCTCCTAGAACCGCAAATCGCCGACCGACAGCCCACGTTCCCGTGTATACGTTGCGTATATCGGCAGCCGTCCGCGAGAGACTCGCGGGAGGAGAGGGAGAGCGTGTACCGATAAAACTACATTCGCGCTCTCTCGTCGCCTCAGTGTTGCCCAGGGTCTATACGAACGCATCGCGCAGTGACGTCGTCGTCGTCGTGCGAGGCGCGCAACGAAGCGAGGCGAAGCGGAGCGGAGCAGGGGTGAAGCGCGCGTTACGGCCGCCGTCTCGCCGCGCGACACAGCGTCGTACAGCGTGTAGCGTGTAGCGATAGCGCATTCGCGTTTGCACGCAGCAGCGGTGACGTCGATGCACCCGTGCGCGCGCGCGCGCGCGCATGCCGGAGCAGAAGAAGGAGGGAGAGAGAGAGAGAGAGAGAGCGAGAAGGAGGCCGGAGCGAGCGAGGGAAGGAGAAGGATGAGGTGACACAAGGAGGAGGGGGGACGGGCGACACACGGGAAGTGTAACGCGCGCGCAGAGCGGCGCGGCGGCAGGCGAGGAGGATAGACGGAGCCGTGCGCGAGCTGCAGGAGGGAAGGCGACAGCGCTAAACGGAAGCGCGAAGAAGCGAGCGGGACGGAGCTATAGAGAGTGCGACGGGTGCGAGGAGGAGAGAGCGAAGGACCGTTGTAGCCCCGAGTTCGGCCGAGCCTCGGCCAATCGGCTACGCGCGGCTCGCGCGTCTACCCGTAGGGTGGTTTCTTGGATCCGCGCGCGCGGCGGCGGCGGCGCCCCGGCCCGCGCGTCACTCAGTCATTCTTCGTTTCGCCTCGGCCCCGGCGGCGTGCGTGCTCGTAGTACGCGACCAGCGGATCCCGACGGAGGTTAGGTTCGCCGACGTTCGTCCCCGCGCGCGCGTTGGTTGAACAACTTCCTCGGTGTGAACGATCCTCGAGCGCGCCGCGTCCCACCCCGCGCGTACAATACCACGTACATACATCTCTCACGCGCGCGCAAGAGAGAGAGAAAGAGAGACAGTGTGCCGTCGAGACGACGAGACTTCCCCGTGTTCCGTGACCGACGCCTACGGTATTCGTGTGTGCGCGTGTGTGTCTATGTCCGCGCGCGTCCCGTAACGGCGTGCGCGCTCCAAAACGGATAAATAATGTCGAGCAGTGTGTGTCACGCGCCCCTGCCAGCACGAATGGAAGCGTTCACCACGAGGCTCTGCCTGCGTGCGGTCGACCAGTATGAGCGGCTCCTGCAGACGCACTTCAATAAGGTAACGGCGAGTCACCCTGGCCAGCTGGGCCGATCGGGGCTGATCAAGGGCGAGGGAAAAGTCGCTCCCCTTTTCTCGCTCCTCCACCCGCCCTTTCGCGAGCGGCAGGATTTTTTCCCCCCCCGGTTTTTCGCGACCCGTGGTCTCGGCGACGATCGGCGGTACAGCGCGAATCGCTCGTGCGCAAGAAACGGCGATGGAATGTGGAGTATGAGATTGACGCGCGCGGCGTGTAACGCGCGCAGCTGTGTCTACACGCTCTAGATTGGCGTAATCGACGATAACCGGGCCGGCCGCGTCGTTTACGAAACGCGTTCCCCCGGGGGCAGGCCCCCCCGGGGCGTGTATGACACTCTCCGCGACCGACCGACCGACGCTGGCGAAGGATACGCACGGCCGCCCGAATCGAGTCGAATAAACCACCCGGTTTCCAACGGAAGAGACCATTGACCCGCTGTACGTATACACGCACCCCACTTACCGTCGGGTCCACACGGGATTTCATCTCGCTCGACACTAGCGACCGTATATCAATGCACAGGGTGTTCCTGAACGAAGATTCATTACATGTCGCGGTATAGCCGTATGCGCTCTCGTGTCAGCGAGATGACTTAATTTCGCGTCGGTTCGCTGCAGAGTATAACCGGCACCGAAGTACCCGATTGATTTATATTCTGTTCCAGGAACACGCGTTTTTTTCCTAGAACGCAAGTAGCACAGATGTAGTACGTGGAAAATGCAGTAAAATAAGATGAACGAGGGGAATGCGCGTCTCGAGAGAAAGAACGGAGAAGGTAGTACTAGAAAAAGAGTCATAAATGAAACGAGATAAAGACACTGTTCGGAGAATAGAATAAGAATTTTTTTTTTTTTTTCGTGAATGCAGCCAGTTCTGAAAATTAATGATTTGTCGGGATCTCTTATATGAATACCGTCCTTTCCGCTTTTTGTTCAGATTCACAGAGTCGCCTTCAAAAAAATTCGTCAAAAACGTGAAAAAACGCAGCGGCGGCAATTTTTTTCCTCAGATATAAATCAGAATATAATAATATATAATAAATCGGAATATAATGATACATAATGAGCCACGTGCGCATTAAAGGATACATCATCTTTTTACCGTCGTAAAATTAATCGCAGTCCTGTCATTTTTTCAACGTTTTTATGTCGCCAACGTGATGAATAATTAAAGTATTTTTTCCCGAAGTTAATTTGTTGATAAACATTAGTCCGTGTGCCTAAAAAAATTCCCTTTTTTAGATGCGAAAAAGAGAGAGAGAGAGAGGCACTCAGAAAGACATTCGATGTGCAGCTGGCGCAACAGGAGGTCGCTCGAGCGAGTGACGTACACCTTCTTCGTTTCTTTCGAAGCTTTCCAACTTTCTTCGCCTCGCCTCGCTTCCTCGGATCCTCCTCCTCGGGCTAATCCCCGTCCCGGATACATCTCGCTGCGTCTCGCGCGCGGTACATCGCGCTGCGAATAGACGGATATTCGACGATTAATCACGATGGGATTGCCTTGATCACGGGAATACGCGTGAAAAATAATGATAGGTTTTCCTATTAATGACGCACGTGCGCATTACCGACCGGCACAGTCATCGCTGATGATATGTTAGCGGCATTTATAGATAAAACGTATGTACGTCCACGTGCCGCAGTTCTTCGATGTTCGACGCAGGGAGAAAACGAGAAGAAAACGGGAGAGAGAATATTTGTATACAGTTTCCCGAAATTTGTCGTAAAATTTCGCATCGGCGAGGAACCTGCAAAAATTGACGCGGAAGGGAACGAAGCTCGAGAGAGAAACGATCTCTCCGACACAGGGGGATGGTTCCACCGACGAGGTCAGACCACACGTCGTGCCACGACCTCGGCCCAGGTTGAAGGGGTTAAGCGTGCAACCTAGTTCGTGCGCCGAGAAATCGCCCGGCGATGCTTTGTGCGATTTCGCGGAGCGATACGCGGCTGCCGGACAGATCGCTCGAGGCACGGCGGTGACACAGTTTTAAGCCGCGGATACGTATACACTTGTTACCTCGTGTTGGCTCGCCTCGCGTCGGAACGGGCCAGCACGAGTTGTAAAGTGACGTTTCGCCGTTAGCTGGTAAACGATCTCGCCGTGGTGAGATCAATTTAATAACGGAAATTGCACGGGGCGCGCTCGTAAAGGAAAAAAGAAAAAATCGCGCGTACGCGGCGCGGCGCGGAGAAGGTAATATACACTCGGGCGAATTCCAAGCCGGCGGCGGATCGTCGGCGGAGGCGAGAGCGGCTATAGGCGACGGGCGACGGCTATAGCTCGCTCCCGCGACACAGCCCGCGGTGTAATTTCATTAAAGCGTCGCGTTACTCTCGCGGCACCATTTACTCGGCGCTCCATTCTCGCCGCACAAAAGCCATTTGAGCGGCGCGATTCGCGACGGAACGATGCCGCGGGCCGGACGAATTAAGCCGAACGCGTGTCCGGCCGAACTTAACGAACGGAGAGGTTGCTTAGCACGCGTCGCGCCGTCGCCGTCGTTACGCGCAATTAACATTCATTTACGCCTGTTTTTCTTTCTAAAACGCAGTCGTTACTTATTTATACGGTTATCCATGCATCCGCCCGCGTATTTTTCCATCAGAGACACTCTTTCAAGCCAATTTTCTTTTTTTTTTTCCATCACTTTGTGCCCCTGCAACAGCCGGCCAATTTTTCCATTACACGACGGCGCCCCATATTTCAGCGGCGCATTCCCGCGGCGCGGAAACATTTTCAGCGACTTATCGCCGAGTCACTGAACAATCCTCAGTTGTTTGCGATATTTTACGGTAATCTACAATGTGCGCGATGCGATAAGATTATACATTTCTAAAGATAGAAACAAATCGTACGGACAGTTAAAATTGCATTTCGCGTGCTGTGCTGCACTTCTCGTTTGGTTCTATCGTATATGGCAGATCGAAAAAAAAAATTATACATATAGCGATAAAAAGAATTCTAAATTGTAACACAGCGCGTTGCACGAGATACAAAGAGAAATCACGACGAGAAGGAATCGTAATTAGAAATAATTTATCGCTCCTAATCTAATCTCTTTTTCATTTCATGCGCGTTATATATAACAAGCAGTTAATAATTTCATGTTTAACAGAATTGCACACAGGTGTTACTTGATAAAGTTAATCGTCGATTAAGTTAATTGTAGTTAATTTGTTGATGTCACTCTAAGGCTAGAGAAACGTCGTGCCGCGCGCATTAATGAGAGTTAAATTGAGAGAACCAAATTTGTCATTGTGTCCCGTGCAGTCGGAAAAAAATGTCAGATCCGTGAATCCCGGTCTAAATTTAAAGTGCGAGTTCGCAAATAGGCGGCACACATCCGCATCGCCTCGACATTTCGGTCGTCCCTCCCCGATCCCCTCCCTCGGGGAGGGCGATCGCGAATCACCTCGCTGAAATCGAGGCCCTGCGGCGACAACAAGCAAACATGGTGCAACTCAAATAAAAGTCACTGACGTCAATAGGTATAGCGTGAGACGCGATACGTATTTATATGAAACGATCGCGCTTCGATTCTCTCTTCTCCGCCTCTCCCCTTCCCGTGAAACACGCATATACGGATAGCCGCGGCATGAATTTTTTGTCCGTCCTGTTTTTTGTGAGCTCTACAATGAGAAAAACCGCGAATAAATCGCGGCACTTATCTATTTTTGTACTCGGCCACTACTGCGTTCCCACGATCTGTCAAATGTCCAATTAAAAACTATATCAATTTAATATAATCAATTTACCGTCATCCGCGGTCGTATAGACAGACGAGAGATGCGGAGCCGATAGTTCGAGGCCGAAACCACGGTCGAATTGTGCGCGTTGCGAACCTTGCCGCCGAGAATTAAAATGAACGGTGTATCGCGCTGATATCGAATATTCACGTCGAAAAGCACGGGTTAACGCGACTTAGCGCGAATAATAACAAGCAGCCTTCGTGCGCGAAGACCGGCGACTTCTCCACTTCGCGGAGTAACGAGATAACTCGGATCTTCTATATAGTTGCGAAGAGTCATCGATTGCCGCTTCAGCGGCGAGAGACCGATCCGGTCGGATGCGATCTTGTCGTATCGGATTTTTCCCCCTCCCGCCCGTTTCCGGACGACTGAAATTTCGAGGCGGCGCGCCCTGTAGCGTAACGCACTTGTCCCGGTTGGATTAAATTCTTAGTAGGCCTCTCTGGTTGCAGCCCTCGAGCAAGGAGCAAACGCGATTGAACGGTCATGATTCGATGGGCAACAAGGACCACCGTCAGCAGAAGGATGGCTCCAGCAGCGGCGGAAGCGGCAGCAACAGCAGCAGGAGCAGCGGCAGCAGCGGCACTTACAGCGCCTTCCGTCAATGGCGACGCAGCACCTCGATTGGTTCCCACAGCAACCGATCCAGCAGCGCCGGCTCCAGATCGTCCAGCTCGCTCGCCAAATTGCCCAACGATCCGGCCACCATGCGGAAGATAGAACAATTCCCCCTGGTCCTGTCCGACGCGTCGATGCCGGACGAGGATCTCTCCTTGAAATTCCTCGCTCTGGTACGTTGGGCATTCGTAACGCCACACCGATTTCTTTCACCTGTTTTTCCGCGGAAACGAGTCTCAATTGATAATGCGCCTGACGATGTTCCAGAATGCCCTGGATCTGACGGCGCCGGCTAGCGACGTGCTCCTGAAGAACCGACTGAAATCCTGGTTCCAATTGTCGGGCCACCCGGACGGCTTCGCACCCGCCGGTCCCGGCACCGTCTGGAAGAGGCGGTCGGGCGGCGCCGACAACACGGAGCGCATCGTTTACGAGGCCTTGAGCAAGGAGGAAGCGTTGCGGGATTGCATTCCGAGGTTTACTTGAAAATCCTCTTCCGTTTATTTTATGGCGCGAGCATTAATAAAACGTAAGCAGCGAGACCGTCAACCGTCGTCACTCTTTTTTTAGATACTACCGGGAGGTCGAGTACAAGGGCGACACGTTCATCGAGCTGCAGGATCTGCTCTTCGGTTTCAACGATCCCCATGTGATGGACATCAAGATGGGCACGCGGACCTTCCTCGAGTCCGAGGTGTCCAAGATCACCGCCCGGCCGGACCTCTATCAGAAGATGATCGCCGTCGATCCGGACGCGCCTACCCAGCTGGAGCACGAGGAGCGCGCCGTGACCAAATTACGGTACATGCAGTTCCGCGAGCAGCAGAGCTCGACCTGCAGCCACGGTTTTCGCATCGAGGCGATGAAGCTGCCGGGCGCGCCGCCGATCACCGATCTCAAGAAGATCAAGTCGCACAAGGAGGTGCTCGACATCATAAGACAATTCATCGGCAAGCGCGAGGACACACGTCGAAAGATCCTCGCGCGCCTCAGGAGCCTGCGAACCAAAATCGAGGAGTCAGAGTATTTTGAAACTCATGAGGTAAACGACACGTGTCAAGTTTTAAAAAAAACCTCGATTATTGGCGTAAAGGTCACTTCCGTTCATCTGCTTATTTTAGATTTATTTATTATTTTTTTTTTTCAGGTAATCGGCAGTAGTATTTTCATGATTTACGACAGCGAAAAGGTCGGCGTTTGGCTGATAGATTTCGCGAAGACGCGGGAGGTGCCGAGCGGACGGAAGCTCACGCACAGGCGTCCTTGGGAGGAAGGCAACCACGAAGAGGGCTTCCTGTACGGATTGGACAATTTAATTTCAACCGTGGAAGAAGTCCGGCTAGCTCTGTAAATATTTTCGATGTTTCGCGTGAACGGAATTCAAACGAACTCTCTTCCGCGCTACGAAAACATCGTTTACTCATGTACATATGACGAGTGAAACAAGTATTCGTATTCCATTCGTTTGTAAGATTGACTTTTAATTAAAACGTAAGTGCGCCAGTATCGCCAAGAGCATCGAGAAGTGGAGTTAATTACAAGTGTGGGTAAAAGTGTTGACCGCCGAAAAAGTGGTACACCCGTTTCGCTCACTTTCGGTCACCTTTCGGTCTTATCGGCACACAAGTTTCCGATATCGTCGTTATTTATCGCCGTCGATATGTATGTATATATATTTAACATGGAAGACTGCTTTCTATTGCATTTCACGCGCATTTTTGTAAGAGACGTATTTTCCAAAACGAAACCGGCGACACATTATTCTGTGTACAAACGCGTAATGTACAAAAATAGCTTTTAAGATAGCGGATAAGTAATCTAACGTGCTGAGCTAGAACGAAACTTATTTATGAGGAGTGCTTACGTCGAATAATAATAATAATGTTCTTACTTTTTTTAAAGAGTACTTGTCTCGAATCGCTTCGTGTTTGAACTTGTAGGAGTAAATAAATAATCTTCCTATATACTCTTGCGTCCAGAGACTGGTTTTATCCGTTTCAGGCGCTGCGCATTCTTGCGGATGTCGTAAGCCGTCGGGAATTTTTGTATTTAGAATAATTGTAATTCTAAAGGATTTTGATAAATGGCTGAAAAACCGATCGGAGCAAAAAATCACGGACAATCCGCGAATAATTCCAAATTAACGTTTCTCGAGAGCGTCTCGACTTTCAATCCTGTTTTCTAAAGAGACGTTTAGAAGACAAATAATATGCTTTTTGCATAATTCAACGATTATTTAAATGAGAATTTTGTAAAAATTCACCTTTTTGTGTCTTACAGCTCTCGCGCCACTGAATACATCACAATGATAATGCCTTTAATTCCGCGATTTACGACCACAAGTTGTTTACGAAATATCATGGGAAATTTCGTTTGTCATTTTTTTTGGCACGTTCGCATGCGAACAAGGGACAAAGAAGTATTAAAAATATAATCTTGACGATATAACAAAAGGAAGATGTACATGAAAGAAAGATAAGCAACAGATGGGCATTTTATCAATCGTTATATCGCTCACTCGAAGTCTACTCCGAGATCGTTAATCGGATCGAAATCGCGCGATCTGTCTTATCAATCATCGCGTGACAAAAGCGGCGTCATCTGTAACATAATCGGAATTACGTAGTCAGAATTCAAAGGTTTTCAGGTCAAGGATTTAAAAAAAACAGAATGAAATGAAACAATCATTTTTATCTATTATCTATTATCGTTCATCTAATCGTCCTTCAGTATACTTTTAAATTGTTTAGATAGATGAATTAATTTTCCTATTTCTCTAAAAAAGAAAATGTATTCCAAATTTTTGTTTTTAAAACGGCTTAACACTTCGAGGATCGTCTGATCAGAGTTACTCTGTAAGCTCGACACTTACAATCTCAAATTATTAGTTTTTCATTTTCAAATTTTAAGTCCAATTTACAATAATTTGAATTGAAATCAATGATGACGTCGTTTTTATTTTATCCATTTTTCTGTATCCTTGGGCGGGAAACTTTTGAAAACTTATACTACGTATACGTACAGTAAGTCCCAAAAGCGTCGTCGCGTCGCGTCGTCGCCCGTGTTGTGTACATACACGCGTGTGTGTTGACAGGCGGACGGCCTGAGAGACGCGCTTTTAAAAATAAACAACGCGAAACTCGGCGACCGAGTATGCGGACGGGGCGAGCGAGCAGAGGTGGAACGGTGCCGCGTTCCGTGCGTTCAGGTGCGTGTGTGCAGGAGCGTGGAACGCGCGTGCGACCGGGTGTCGGCTTTAACGCTCATGTGCTTCAACCTCGGCTCGGTGTTGCTGCCTTTCGTTTCCCGTTCGTTCGTTCGGCCGCGTGCGCGATCGTGCCGACGTCGTCGCGAGCAAGCGATAGATTGTCGCCCGGTGGTCGTTTTCGCGCGGTTTTCGCGGGGATCCTCGCGCGATCGGACGTCGCGCGCGTTGAACGCGAGGTTAATTGTCGGCTTTGATTCTCTCGAGTGTATAGGACCCGCGAGAGGACCTTCTCCGAGAGGATTCACCGGCGACACAGGTGGTTACATACACGCGCGAACGCGAGGTCTCTATTTACTCCCGACAAGATCGTCCGCATCAGCCAATGGCGACTTCCCAGGATCTGGAGGACGACTGGACCATGCTCTGCCACGACCCCGACAGCTGGACGCGGAACGGTGAGGCATTGTATAGCGCGAGTGACAGGAGTGTTATTCTATTAATAAATTAATTGATAAGCGATACTTCGGCTCGAGCCGAAGTCGGTTCGTTAGACGGCCCTTCCCCCCCTCCTCCCACCCCGCTCCCGGGTGAAACGGCTGATTATCGAAACCATTGTAACGCGAAGCTGCGGGTATTACGACATTCGTTACGAAACATTCCTTACGGCTATAGGCTGTGCGATAACGCAGCTCGTGACATTTCGCAGCCTCTAACGAGACGTTACCGCTGTCGACGAGGAGAGTCGATCGGTTCCGCACATCTGTCCGACGCGGACAGAAACGGGTTCCCGGGTATCCGTATATATACCGTTCCCGACGTCTCGTCGGGGAGTATACCGATAACGCGGAATTAATTCTCCCGCTGCAATTATTCCCGCGCGAGAGCCGTCGCGTAACAGCGAGCCGTCAGTCGGTCGGCGATGGGGGGGGGGGGGGGGATTAAAAAATCCGGGAAGGCGCGCATGCAGGAATTTATCGGACGGATAACGACCGTTAATGCCCGCCGGGAACTCGACGGTATTAAACTTTCTTTTCGATTAATAGGAAGAACCGTCACTCGCGACGGCGCCGCGGCGGACGCGCGGAATGAAGAATGCCTCCCTTGCGACTCTTCGCGTCGTGCAAGCAGGACCGGCCGTGTCGTTCCTGTGGGCGAGAAAAGAAGGACTTTGACGATCGGAGTCGCGCGCCGCGCCGCCCGGTCGAAGCTCTTGTTTATTATACACGCGCCGTGTATAATCCCGTCGTAACGCGCCTTACGCCGCCGACCGCCGTTCGGCGCGTGGACGCGACACGTCGTCGGTCGATTACACACTTTCCTCGCTGAAAACTATGCCGGCATGCGATTACGTAAAACCCCTGCACTCGCGGTCTGAATCTCGCATGCCGCGATCCTCCCGCGTCACGTCGGCTTTTTTTTTTATCGTCGGGTGAAAACGTTTGTAAAAAAAAAAAACAAATGCCATTTTATATAAACTTCCGAATGACGCAAATAGCGATTGGATAACGCGAGTTGATATATTTGTAAAGTAAAGAGCTCGCTATTCGACAATCGATAATTTTTATTTTATTACCAAGTGTAATTGACAGCTCGCGAATGACAGCGAATCAATGCAGACTAGCTTTCCTAATTCGTTAACGAGAGCTTCATTCATCGAAGTCGGATACTTACTTTCCCGTCGACCCAGCCTCTCGCGAGTCGCGATTTCCCGGACGGATGATGATTCCGAAGATTCCCAGAGGTTTTACAGCGATCCATCTTCATCCCGTTTCCTCGACAAGGTCAATAGTTTAGATTAAAGGTACCTTATACTCATATAAGCGCGTCACGCGTCATAATTTATAGCAATGTTTCTTTGTCGGAAACAGTTATAATTTTTAATCCTCACTGAGGCATGAAATTTTGAACACTGGCGACAAAAAATGCGATAACGCTTTAATTTGCAGTTGGATAAATTCATTTGTAAACGCGACAGTACTAGAAGTCACTGCCAGGCAGAAATGACGGTCCACATAGACCTCGATTCGACGTTTCTAAACATTGATTCGATGTCTATAGACATCGAATCGACGTCTACGGGCCGATTATTTGTGCCCTGGTATACTTAATCTTATTTCTCAAATGACGCGTGACGCGCGCGTCAAATGACGCGCCTATGAGTATATAGGTATTTTAATGCGCGCGCCCGCGAGAGCAATCACACGTGGACGAATCTGGCCTGGAAAGTCTTCGCCGCGAAACATCGCGAACTTTCGAGATCGAATTGTTCCTTTCTTAAAGCGGAATACTTGAAATTTTTTTTTTACCATTACTCATTCCAACGTGCTGTATTTTTGAAAGTGTTTCAAATCAAATCCGATCTAATCGATCAAGTCCGATTTAATCGACGATTAATTTGTTGAGTAACATGTGTTGTATTTCGCTAACATGAATAAAATTATGAATTTTTCTTTTTTATTAAATTAGAGGTAACCATGATTCACATTAAGAAAATTGCTATAAACAATTGAATGCGATTGAATTAATCGTCAATTAAGTTAATCGAAGCCTGGTCGAGGTCGCTCTAGATAATGATGATAATGATGATAACTTTATTGCGTACGTACGAGAGATTGATTTATATACAGTTCGGATAACTATCAACGACATGAATGAAAAAGATGGTACGGCGCCAGTAGAGCTGTTGACCCACCTGTAGTAAAAACAAGATAATTGGAGCACACAAGGCGGTGGATATAGTATTATAGATTGTAAGGCAAGAACGCGCGGTGAGCAGAGAGCATAAAAAAATATACAGATCATAGAATAGAACGTGAACTAGGTGGAGCGTAAATAAAAGCTAAAATAATACACGTACGACAGCCGACGAGTCTGTCGAGCGGAAAAAAAAACCAAGATTCGATAAAACAGATAGATCGCTTAGCTTCTACTCTCGTCACGCGTGTCAAACGATCGACAGCAGCGGAGCGGAGAGAATGACGCTTCGGGATGGTGCACGTGTACGAACGGATAAACGCGCGCTCGGACAGATAGGCCGCGCGAGCGCGAGTGTCGAGCGTAACCGCGGGACGACACAACGACGACGACGACAACAGCGTTACGGTATCGGATCGCAACGGGTCGTTAGGTAGCTCCGCCACGACGATTAGTCTCGCATACCGATCGAGAAGAGCGGCGAGTAAAAAAAAAAAAAAAAGAATATGCCCGGACGCGCCGCTGCATGCAGCTGCATCGCGCGCGGCGCGCGGCCGTCAGTCGCGATTGCGATAACGGTGAAACGGAAACGGCGGTTTTCTCCGGGGGGCAAATTGAAAGCTTTCCAGAGCACGCGCGCGTGCGATCCTCCACCTGCGGAAAGAGGAAGAGGGAAAAGGATGTATTACGTACGGCGGCGACCGATCTCTCGGGTCAGGGAAAGGTCGAGGGAGGGATGAGACGATCGCGGCGCGCTCTCGGGTAAAAGTTCGTGGCTCGCGCGGATGGCGATAGACCGGATGATCAAGATCACATCGATCCACGGCGATGGTCGCGTGAAATCGACGTGATCGTTTTCTAACCGCAGAAAACGCAAGGCCGACTTTTCCGCGAGACTCTCTCGCCGTGGAATCGCGCGCGCGCGCTCGTAAGATAATTCACTTTACGACGTGGGGAAACGTACTTATACGGCTCCGCGTGCGCGCGAGATGAAATGGAAACGCGAATCACCCTTCGCTTTTCCCCCTTCCCCGCCGGAAACCGATGGAGAACGTATTCGTCCCGTCAAATTGAAGTCCTTTCTTAATCGAATATCTACATCGGCATCTCTACGGGCTCGATGTAGGCATATAATTTCGACGACAGATGAAGCGGTGTTTCTCATAAGCGAGGTTTCATTGTGCCTCCCTTCGTCTAACGCAATCCTAATTGTCTATCGATCCTGAGAACGCGGTGATCGGTAAGAGGAATCGGCTCCGCTACGCGCCGCGCCGCGCCGATATCATGCCCGGAATAGTAATTTCTTCTAATAGCAGGAAGCGCGAAGAGATACGTTCCCGTATTTCTTCGCGAAGAGCGGGTCCACGCGAGGGTATAGGTGAAGTGGACCGGCGAGGAATCCCCGAGGAGGTTCGCGAAAGTCGAGGGGTATATACGCTCGATTCGAGCCGGCGTAGAAGCGTATGTATCCCCGTGTATTGTCCATCGGTCCTGATTATATATCATTAATACGGCGTATCGCAAGAGATAAGGCGGGACGCGTTTACCGATAATTAGGTGAGACTCCTATGGAACCTCGGGTCTTACCGCAATAGCCGATACTCTCCTATACGTTACATTGTAGATATTATTATTGCAAACGTGCAATCTCCTCGGAGGGGGGACGGCGAGGGGATGTATAAACATCGGTTACGCTGCCTTCGGCTATCCGCCCTGCAGGCCGTGGAAAACGAAACGAATCCGCGGGGATACTCTTATCGCGGCGATGATTGGACACCTGCAGTTCGCTCGCGCTCGCCGCACGACCGGAAGCGAGAACCAGTACACGCTTCTTCATGCGGTATCCCGGTGAAATTAGGCTAGGATAATAATTTGGACTTTCGACCGGTGGAATCCATGCAGTGCGCGATGATGGGTGGGTGGGCCACGCCAATTACCGATCCAGGCTGACCGTAATTAGACGAAGAGTCTTCGCCCTCCTCCTCCTCCCCTCGGTCATTGCGAGCGGAGGATCCGTCTCGAGATAATCGGGGGAGGGGAGGGGGAGGGGGATCGCTTTTCTCATGGAAGCGGGGAAAAAATGCGCCCGATGGGAAACGTGCCGCGGTGAAGGCGGATCACCGCGCGTGACGTTTCCGCGGCGGATTTTTAACGCGGCGGAGACATAAATACACGTTATACGTTACGTTGACACCGCGCATCCGCGGAGGAAGCGGAGCCGGTTTTCCCATGTACAGTAGAGGAACAATTAATTACTATATACGCCTGGCGCTGGCGCGAATCGAAGTCCTTCGGCGTTAATGGACCGGCGACGACGGGTTTTTCGTGCGTGCGTCGCGCGCCACGCGAGATGACAGCCGTTTAGTTATTTACTCCGCGCGCCGCGCGCGGTTAATCATCAGATATAGCCCGCGATAACACGCGGGTTATCCTATTAATTAAACGAAGTAAGCGCGGGCCCGCCGCGAGCGTATACCGTTGCAACGTGTAAAATTATATATGTGTCACGACCTGACGTTTCTTATCGGGTTGGAAAGTCGATTCCTATATATACGCGTACGGAAGTCGCGTGAAGGTGTATCCGGCTCGTGCATTTATCGCCGGTCGCGGCGCGTAAGTGTACTTTCGAAAGACAGGCAGAAACTTATCTTAACCGTCGCGAAATTGTAATCGAGTCGAAAGAAGGAAATTACGAAATTAAGCCGAGCGACGGCACGCGCCCGACGTACGGTGTCCCCTCGGGATCAGGCCGCGTGCGACG